TAGAAGCAGGAAAAATGGGCAGCGTGAGGATTTGAGCGACTTTGACAAGGGCCAAATTGTGATGGCTAGACGACTGGGTCAGAGCATCTCCAAAACTGCAGCTCTTGCAGTGGTTACTACCTATCAAAAGTGGTCCAAACAAGGAAAAGCGGTGAACCGGTGACAGGGTCATGGGCGGTCAAGGCTTCCTGATGCTGGCCTGTGTGGTCTGATCCACCAGACGAGCTACTGTAGCTCAAATTGCCCGAAAAAGTTAATTCTGGTTCTGATAGCGAGGTGTCAGAACATAGAGTGCATGATCGGTGTACATATATATACATATATGTACATACATATATACACATAGAGATACATATATATATATATATATATTTGATGAAAAATATACAATAACCCCAGACCCATACTTTAGGTGGCAAAATGAATTCTGCTCAGGTGCCAAAATATCCTGTTCCAGCCCTGAAATGTCATATCATGGTGATATTTGACTGTGTGTTCAACTCTCCTCGGCGTCTTCAATTAGGGAGTTGAACAGAAGTAGATAAACAGTTGGCTTGCCCTGTGATGCTGCATTAATCGTTCATTTCATGGGTTAAAAGAGCAATGTCAATGAGGAGGAGAAATTCTCATCCCATTATCGGCTTGGAGGTGCAAAGTGAACGCATCAGCAATGAAGCCAAGCATGAAAATGATTACTGCACTACTAGAGTCTCAGATTATCCACATTGTTCCAATTGCAAACTCCTCTTCTCTAAGCAGCTGAGGGATTAACTGAAGACTACTGTTAGACTCTTCTACCTTGTCCACCATTTCTCATTGTCATAATGATAAATGGCCTGATGAGATAGTTTGTGCTGACAAAGGGCCTCCATCCTCAGTCTTTTATTTCTTATATCTCTTTCAGGGAATCAGAGAGACAAATGCATCACCCTCAGTATTGAAAGCACATAAATCTTGCTTTAGGAGGCCTGTCTCTCCTCAGATTCTGTCAGACAAAGGCAGAGGCTTCTATTTATTACCTCAATCTTTGTTTGGTTGGCTACTGTGTCTTCACAAAAATAATAGTTTTATAGATCAGCACAGATACACATTATAATCAGTGGTAATAAAGATAAAGCTAAAAGGAGAGGGTGGAGGCTGAGGATCTCTAGTGCTGGCTTTGTATTATATCACACTTTTCCCAGCCTTTAGCTGTAGTTCATACATATCCAATGAAATTGTTTTTGCATAAAAAATATATGCACCCAGTTTTACATGCAAACACTATCAATATCTGTTTTAATCACAATTCATGCCTACAGTTTTTATCTCAGTTTGAAGCTGGCACATTTCCTCTGCCTTCAGTGTATGAAAGGGTACAACAGTGAACTGTGGCTCAGAGGAAGAGTGGGTCGTCCACTAATGGGAAGGTTGTTGGTTTGATCACTGGCTCCTCCCGCCACATGTCGAAGTATCCTTGAGCAAGATACTGAACCCCGAATTGCTCCTGATGCTGTGCAGCGGTGTGTGAATGTGTATGAATGTGTTAGTTTGAGTGGTCTGAAGACTAGAAAGGCACTATACAAGTACAGCATTTACCATTTACCATTTAAAAGTGACATGTAGTGTTAATGACTAGAAAGGTAAGTGCAGTCAATTTACCATAAACTGAAAAGGTGCAGTGGACATCAAAATGTAGAATATAAAGACAACAACATCATGTCTGGCAGTATGATAAGTGGTTTAAAAACCATTTGTAAAAGTAGGAGTTCAAATAAAAACTAAATTAAAAGCAAATCAAGTGTGTATTGGAGAGAGTATGGGGGTTAATGTAGTATGTGGGTTCCCTAGCTTGGAGTTCACAATCCTAATGGTTTGGAGGAAGAGACTTCTGTGTCTGTTGTCATACCAGGCAGTGATTATTCCTGCTATGAAGATTTAAACATCACCACTGTGGAATGACTGTAGAGTCTTTGGAGACATCCTAAATTTTCTCAGTTGTTTGAGGTGAAAAAGGTCCTGCATTGTCAGTTCAGAAATGAGTTTTGAAAAATCAGCTTTATCTTTAAGGTTTTGTCAGGTTTACACATTTACATTCTTTAATTGTGAAAACTGCCCTGATTCCACTCAGTCAAAATTTACTCGTCTACATAATGACAAAGTATGATAAGTACAATCTTTTATTTCTTTGACTGTTAGTTTAGGCCAGCTCACAAACTGCATGCTTTGTTTTAGATCTGTTCTTTACAGAGCCAACAGAGGTGCAACGGTAAGCGTACTGACTCATTTCTGGTTTACTTCCTGCTCTGTGTACACTGTTTGGTGCTGTAGCTCTGTCCAGTGAACGCTAAATATAAATTTGTTTTACTCGTTACAGCGGTTATTTACCCACTTAACATTTAAACGTAGACTAGTTCTACCTAAACACTAAGAGCTACTTCTTTCTTTTAGTGACTTTTCGCTATTTTCCAAGTTTTCACTGCCTCTTTTACTGATAATGGTACATGTATTAAGTGTAGTTTATTTACTGCGCTGGAGGCGAGGCTCAGTGAACTAGAAGCACGGCCGTAAAGATGAAATAATTTTTTGGGTATAAATCAGCCTGTCCTGCCTGTTTCTTCCACAAAGACTAATGTTGAGGCACTGCAGCTTCACACTTACTGCTGGTATTGTCTTGTGAACATCAATCTTTTGTTTTAATAGTGTCTCATTCGTTTACATGCCAGCACCGCGAAATGAAGCCGTAATTACTAGCCCTAATTGATGTGGTTTTACCACCTCAAACGATACTTCAGAGCCCTCCTCCCCCCTCACTGTAGAGGCCCCACTGCTGTTGTTTGCACTATATTTCTGCAGCTATTGATCGCTATTATGGTAAATCCAATGGGCACAATGGAACTCTATCAGCAAAATGCAGGTTAATTATCTCAGGGTCAACCACTTTAGAATCTTCACAAAGAGCCGGCTGTTCTCTCTTTATTGCTCAGCATTAAATTGCAAATACAAATTATTATCTGAGCTCCATTATTTTGCTAATAAGGGGGCAGGTTGGCAGTCATTAATAGAAGATGACCTCCCATTTTCCACAGATTGTATTTGCAAAGTTTTAAACATGTCAGGAGTAATTTATCCCTGGTTCTGTTGTTTTTCTTTTCCCACGTTAATTACTTTTTTTTTTAATTTCACGCCTGACATGTATATTTTGTCAACATTAGGAGCAGCTTTTTAAGGATGCTGTCTTACATAAATAAATTAAATTAAAGAGTTTGCATATTACATATTTCTATGTTCAAAGTTCACCTCAAGAGATTATTTCATCATGTCATACAAATAAAACGTTTACAATGAATTAAGCAGTTTACTGTGGATGCACACATAAGACATTAGAAACTTTTTTTGAAAGTTATATCTCCTGTTGTTAACAGAGCTGTCAGACATTTGACTAGCTTGAGATAAATTGGCCTAATAAGAAGGTGCAGAAATCTATTGATGCGAGCAACCAAAGTTAATGGAATTGATTGTGGATATTGTGTTTGCTTTCTGCAGGGACTCCAGTGAATCGGATTCCTATCATGGCCAAGCAGGTGTTGGATCTCTACATGCTCTACAAGCTCGTCACAGAAAAAGGCGGCTTAGTGGAAGTCATCAATAAGAAAATATGGCGTGAGATCACCAAAGGCCTTAACCTCCCTACCTCCATTACCAGTGCAGCATTCACTCTCCGAACACAGTGAGTACAAGCACAGTTGATAACCACTGATAACCACCACTTACACTTACCAGGCCAGCCACAAGTGTTCCATTAATGAGATACTCAGTTGTTCACATGTAACTAGCTTGTTTGTCAAGACTCTTTTGCTTTAATTCATCTGCTATGGTTAAAATCTTTCATTTGTTAAAATGTTTTCTTTAAATGCCTATCAAAGGCTTATTTTATTACGTGTGTCCAGACAAGTGAAAAGCCCAGTCACCTTTATTTTGTGCAGTAGTGATATATGTGGTCTTTACCTGCCAATCCTTGCTGTGATTCATGTCATTATAGAATTGTAGATGGCTAGGCATTTAGTATGAAGCCTCAGTGTTGTTTGATTGACAGTGTTTTGTACATGATTTCTCACCTCACAGTCCCATTTATTATTATTATTACTATGTTATTATTAAATAAAATATTAATTTTTTTATTGATATTTCATATTATATTCATTGTATTACAATGACAGTACAGAGCAATTGATAAACTGTACATTTAACCCAATAGTGAACACAAGAACTGCAAGAAGTTTGTGTAAAACAAGTGATTTGGGTAACATTTGGGTAGACTACTTCCTGTGGATATTGTGTTTTCCCAATATCTTAGGAACTTTTTATACGATTCTCTTTTAAAAATAAATAAATAAATATATAATACGGACAGTCATACATACTTAACAGGTTCACCTTTTTTTGTCAAATTCAGTGTTTTCTTCTTATTGTATGTCAAAATAATGACTTTGTAATAATGACAAAGTTTTCCTACACCCCTTAAAATCAAGAAGGCCTCGTAACCGCATGTGAAGCTTTGGTGGCCCCTAGTGGGAGTCCCTACCCCCAGGTTGGGAACCACTCTTTAAATGCAAGAGAGTTTCAATATCTGGATATCCAAGATCTGTGATCCATGATTGTTTGGAACAGGGTCAAAGGCTCTAAAGGACCATTTTAATCATTGACAGACTTATTATTTGCTATGTTATAATGACCACTTTTAAATGTTAGTGTGACGCTCAGTATACTATAGTCAAAATTTAGGCAGTTGGTCAAGATCGCTTTGGAATCAAAATGCCCCTTTGCTACATATATGTTTACAGGTATATTAATTGGTTAGATTTGGTGGTGTTAACATACTGCAGCCATAGCATTGTGTTTGCATGCACTTAAATAAACAGGTTACTGAGAAACCAGGTTACATGGCTAATCAAAGAACATGTCACATCGTATTTACCTTGTTACTAGATCCACGTTCATGCAGCACATAAGTAATCAGACTGGAAGAAACTAGAACAATTAAAGTGCTACGGTGCTGGTTTGTTTATTACACATTGCCCTGCAGCACTAATGTGTCTCAATTTAACAAATACTCCGATATTTAGACTTCTTGAGGCTTAGTTAGTTTCAGTGTTCAGCTGAAATCATTTTAAATATGAGTAACACATCACTATGTGAAATTTTTTGTCCTTTTATCCCCCCACTCAACATTGTTACTCTCCCTGTATGCAGTGTTTTGGTTACCCCTATACTTGACAGAGATATGTGTTCTCCCATGTACATGATGTTTAATAAATCAGCCTTCTGGAGAAAGCTGACTTTAGCCTGCTTACTTCAGATCCTATTTATCATTGAAGGCAGACTAAAGCCCTGTACTTTTGAGTTATGATGTGGACAGAGGAACTATGTGAGATAGAGCATTGTTATCATGTGTAAATTGTGCACAAAACCAACATTTTTGAAATGCAAATGAAACCTATTTCATTTGAATTGAATTACTAGCAAAAGTATATCGTTTAATTTTATAAAAACATTTAAAAAAAAAATGTTGTGGGACTGTTTCTTCAATCTTACTCCCGCCCCGCAAAAATGTATTGATTGACAACATGTGACAGAGTGACAAAAAGCCGATTTAATCATTGAATTATTCCCTGTAGGTATATGAAGTACCTCTACCCCTATGAATGTGAAAAGCGGGGACTGAGCTCCCCTGGTGAGCTTCAGGCCGCTATCGACAGCAACCGGCGGGAAGGCCGCCGGCAGAGCTACGGCTCTGCCATCTTCAATTACTCTCCCGTGGGCACCCCCACCCTCCTGTCATCTCCAAAGATACAGATGTCCCACCTATCTATGCCCACTCACAACAGTGGTCATATCTCCCAGGTGCCTGTCATCAAGAAAGGTAACACAAGATACGAGACACAACATTTTAAGACATGACACATTAAAACAATAAAATGCATGGCTCAAGAGGTAGAGCGGTCTTAACTGGAAGGTTCCTGGTTTGATCCCTGGCTTTTTTAGATAGTGTCCTTGAACAAGACACTTAACCCCTAAATGCTCCTGAGCCGGTTGACACCAGCCAAAAACTGCAGTTCCTCGAATGGCCACTTAAGGCTGACTCCAAAAGTGAAGTGAAATAAACATGTTTACAGCCTGGTGTAATCTCTACGGAGAATTCATGACAACTGTACGGGGGGTACATTTTTTTATGACTCACCCCTTTAATTTAGCTTAAAGTTATGCATAATTAAGGGGTGGCTCTTTGAGTAACAGGTGGGTGCTGTTACCAGTGGCTGACCACATTTCGTTCAGTCCGCCCACATTCCACCTCTTTGCCATTTTTGGATTTTGCCGGGAGCCAGTGGAATCAGGCACAACGAATATGGCGATGGCTGGAGCTAACCTCACTGAGCTTTAAACGGGCTCTTCAGAAACTGACGTCACAGAGACTACATCCATTATTTATCCTACTATTATCTATCTCTGTGGTACACTGACTCAATTTTATGCTTGAGATTGAAATCATGTGAACATCTGCAGGAAGTTTCACCCATTGTATGTTAACTATCAACAGTTGCAAAAATAAATAAAGCAGAAGAATGATGCATATGACATGACTTTGTACTGATGGAATGTTGCTGTGTAAATGTGCATTGTAAAGAATATACCATGCAATTATTATTAAAACTGTCATATATTTTAGAATTTATGCCAGATGGCAAGATAACATATGACAAGCATGGGTACAATACTATTGCAGAAAATATGTATTTTGGGCAATCTAACCGGTTAACAACAGTCTGGTGGAAAATAATATTAGAAAAGAGTTTGGTCATGAAGCAAAAAACAGGTCAGATCCTAAACATCTTTAGAATTTCTAAAGAATTATTAATTTGCTCCATATGAATACTTTGTCAAAGATTGCACATGATCACAACATCTTTTTGAGAAATTGTTGCATGATTACAGAGCAACTTAAGAAGAAGTGAGTGTGTTTGCATGTCAGAAATTAATTTCACAATACTGCCCCATTTCTATCCATTCATACTCATGCAACTCTTGCGGGCAGTATGTTTATTTCCCCCAAAGAGGAAACAAGAGGACTTCCTCATATCAGCACTTCTACTAATGCACCACAAAGAGCATGGGAGCTCTTTTATTCCTCAAGGGAAAAAAGTGGCTGACTGATCTGTGTAGTGTGCCATGGAGATATCAGCCATATCTAAAGCACAAGTTATTTTAGTCTTGTTATTGCAGTTAATGCCAGGTTAAATTATTTAATAAGATCCATTATTTTAATTAAGAAATGATATATATTTGAAATCAGCCAGCATCATGTGGGCCTAGCATGAGGATCAAGGAAATATTGCAAATGTATTTACCACTATACAACACAGGGTTGTACAACCAATTGTATGTTTGCAGTTCCTTCATGCTACAAACGATAATTACATTTATATTAGATTAACATAAAATAAAATAAAACTACGGTATATATACACTAATATATACACATATACACATACACACGTATACACCCAGGAAATAATTCTGCAGTGCATCTTTTGAATTTGTGTCAGGAGTAATGAAAACAGCAACAACAAGACAGTGATGATAATATGGTTTTCTCTTCACACAAGAACTTTGACTGCTTTTGAGACCAAGCATTATTGATTTAAATAATCCTCTTGCACTCTGTAGGCCCAGAACACAGTCCACCCTCCCAATCATGATATAAAACCCTTCATTTCAAACAAATTAGAAAAATGAACACCAAAGAACTACCTAAAATGACAAAACCATCTTTGAAAAAATCTACTACTGTACAAGTAACTAGTAGTGGCCTTTAGAAAAAAACCTGACCAGAAAGCAAAAATGTTGGAATGAAGACAAGCTGTCAAGATGTAAAACTGTGTCCTGTGAATATTTCAAATCTACATCTCTTTCTTAATGCATGTCACATTTTTGTAGTACAATGTGTTTATACCAAGTGTAAACCATTAACCTGTATATCTTGATTCATATTTGATCAGCACTGTCTAATTTGACAGCATTGCGCTGGACGGACTCACTCTAAATTGGACCATAATTTACTAAACATCAAGCTGTACGGAAGAAGACTTGAAACTAGCGATTAAGACCATAAAGTCATTAGGAAACTGTTTACTGAGCTAATTAAACAAGTGAGAAGTCAGGTAACATCTCCAGAAGACTGCATGGTATAATTGTGTTATTGCAGCCCAGACTTGTGTTTAGAGACAAATATATACAAGATATACTTACTTAACAGTCCTTTACTCTCCAGAGGAGCCTATGATGGCCAGCTGCCTGCCCAGCCGAGGGGCCCTCTCTATGTTACCCAGCAGCCATCGCGCAGCAGCTGTGGCCGCCCAAGCAGTAGCAGCCCAGGCAGCAGCGGCTGTCCAGGTAGCAGCCTTGGAGCAGCTCAGAGAGAAGCTGGAGAGCAGTGAACCACCAGAAAAGAAGATGATGTTTGTGGCAGAGGAGCAGCAGAGGATTGTGCAGCACGCCCTGCAGCAGAACCTGCTGGCAATGACCACCCAGCTGCCCCTTAATATCAAACTCAACAACAGAGGTGAGCCACTCACAGGAGGTTTGAGTACACTGATCTGTGTGAAGTTAATATGTTCTCTTTGTGTTCTCTAGTTGTAATATTGGTGAGTGAATTTGTTTCCGTTTCTGATTAGCAGTTAGGGGGGTTTTGGGCTATGCATGAAAAGTATTTCACAACCTTTATTGTATACCCCTGGGAAAAAATACAGGTGACCACAATGGTGGTCAAAAGTGCAGTCCATTTATTATATAATAGGCTTAAAAAAAGTTAGTAACAGGATGAGATTCTTCAGGTTTGAAGCTCAGTATGGTGCTGTTTGCATGTAAGAGTGTATTGTCTATTTGTCATGTACAGTAGCCAAATGGGGAAAAAAAACAGTAAGACTTTTCTCCATGCTATAATGCCATCTGTGTCACCTTCCTTACACTTTACACACTTCATAGGCAATAAAGTGTTCCCAAGTTTATTCCTACACAGTCTGATGATATACAATATTTTTCCTGAAAAGACCCAAACCAACAGTGAATATATTTTACTAACAAGTGTTGGGTGCGATATTCCTCCATTACCATGAACACACACGTTTATTTTGATTAAATCCCACATACGTCATCCTACTGCCCCGAATACTCACTAGCACACCAAATGTGGATTAATGAAATGCTCAAGGTTTTAGGTGCCAGCTGTTTTAGGAAATTAATTAACCTTTTAAAAAAAATGGAACTATATATTTGTTAGGTTTTTTTAAAGATTTATGTCTTCATTAGTAACCAATCGTTGGGGCTGAGTGCTACAGACAGGGAAGTCAGAAAGTATTATGAGATGGACTAAGACATTGTTGGTTTTGTTTTTTTCATGGGATGTAAGATAAGATGTACCTTTATTGATCTTATCTTATCTTATAGAAAAGGCTGGCATTATTTTAACAACAGTGAAAGACTCACAGTGTGGTCCAAAAGATAGAACTATCAGCCCCATAGATGTTATGAAGAAGCAGTTCTTCTCGACCACAGGCAGAAATCAGCTTGTCATGAGTAAAAATGCCTGTATTGCTGGGCTTTGGCTGCAGCCAGCACAGCTCATGATATGCCATACGTCACATATGACTTAATGATAGAGGCTAAAGGAAGAATAAGGGGCCTATCTGCTCAAGTGATATCATTTCTGTCTGCATCACTGCCTCTCTCATATTAGTCATAATAGCAGGCTTTGCACTTGATATGTGACGGAAAAATGAGTTAAAATCTTTCTCAGGTTAATTCCCACACTGGTCGTCTGGCTCTGGCCCTCACACAGAAACACGTCATTTAAAGATTACATCCAAACACTATTATTTGTCTCCACCTTGATGCACATAGACAGATAAATTTGTGTTTACAGATGGTTTGATATTACAGCAGCTTACTGAGATTATTGTGTGTGTGTGTCTGTGTAATGTTTGTCCATTTTCCTAAAACATTACTGTTATTTAAGAACCAGTCACATTTATTCAGCCAAGTTTTCCAACTGTATGCATCTATAGGATTCATCCATAACTGCCGCGCACAAATGGCTGTAACATCTTTTGACAGTTCTTTTTCCCCAGAACTCTTTAATAAAGGTCTCCTTATCCTGTCACTCACTGAATTATCACCAATACTCCACCAGGACGCTCCTCTTGCTTTTTCTGTTCCCTTTCTAAATGCTCATATTGAGTTTTTCTCTCTCTCGTTCTCTGCCTCCTCTCTTGACAGATGATAGACAAGAGACCGCATTGAACCTGTCTACCAGCGGCATTAGCAGCATCAACATGTCAATAGAAATAAATGGAGTTGTCTACACAGGTAAATAGAGGGGCCGTTTGCTGATGTAATTGCAGGCAGGAAATTCAATAAGTTATAGCAGCACCCTGGTGCTTAGTCCTCTACGCAATTTGATGTCTTCGCTATAAAATCCATCGTAATGAAGTGGCAGTCCAATAGAGTTAAAAAAGTTAAATATCTCAGAATTGGGCCTGTGGATTTGAGGTCGATAGGGCTTATTGTCTTATGTTCCTGCCTAGAGTGTGTGTATGTGTGGGTGTGTAGGTAGGTAGCTCGTGTCTTGAGGTAATTACTGCCTCTCTGCTTTAACATAGGCCATTCATGTCAGGGTATAAGCCTGGTGGCTGTCACATCATATCTGAGCTCTTTCTCCGAGAGCCAGTGTTCAGTCAGAGTGTTGACTTGCTCATCCTGCCACAAGCTGAAACTCACTTTAATCTGTTTTTGGGTCTGTAGATGAGCATGCTGAAATATAACAGTTATTGATGTTAGATGACTCTTGACTGTCTTTGTATTATCTATATAATACTACAGGTACTGTAGAATTTAGATGTCTTAAATTCAAAGGTACAAAAGGTATTTACTAGTTTTAATACCACATTTTTATTGGTTTATTTGGTTTATTTATGTCTTTTTGTCAGAATTATTAACTTCAGTTCAATTTTCTTAGTATAGCACTAAATCATAAGTTCTCAGAATACTTCAAATACAGCAGGCACAGACCATATTCCTTATAAAGTTTATTCACTCTCTTCAGCAGGTAAATCAGAAGTTTTGATCGCTTGTTAAACAAAGCTAGCATAGTCATGTCAAGTCAAGTCAGTTTTACTTATACAGCCTTTACAATCTGCACAAAATACAACAAAAATAGAGAAGTCTCAGGAGGAGAAATAGAAGGTATCTATTTTCCAGGACAGACAAATATGCAATAGATCATATTTACAGAGTAGCCAGTAATACCAGTTGTAATATACAGAATTATGATATAAAACATTATAAAATTGTAGCTGTAGTCAGAATTGACACTATTACATTTAAGCCACCATGTATTTAAAATTCTTGCTTTCTTTGTAATTATTCTATCAGAATCCATTTTTGTTTGTGAAAACATGAAACAGTGCAGTCTAATGTGTTTTTTCAGCCTATTCATCACAGTGTCCCTTGGGGGGTGGTTTAACTATGCATATGAGTAATTAATTTTTGACTAGTAAGAATAACAGTGGAAATGTTACCTTGTCATTTCAGATATCAACAATTTTATGTTGCAGATATAATTAATTAGAATTGTAATTGTAATTACATTATGAATAAATCAATTTGGAATTATAATATGTCAGAATTAAATGTTCAAATAGAAGTCAATGGTAAACGTTAAGATTAAGATTAAAATTAAGATACAGTAAACATTTCCACTAGAAAGAAATTAATTGTTGATATCAAGAATAAACATTTTTTAATAGTGAGTGTCGATGGCTTTAATTCAAATATCTATTTGTTTGCAGTTGTTGATATTATTAGATAATGCTGCAATTACCACTATTAAATATTAAAAGGGCTTGCCATAGAGCTGTACTGGTTAAAAGTGAGGTGGACAACTGAAAAACATGGCTGAAAAGCATTCTGTGTAGACCAGCAGTAAGATAAAGCAATGTCAGATCTATGAGGTAGTGGGAACATCAGTCATTGTTTGAGGTAAACATAGGAGGGGGGACCTGAGCTTTTCTGAATATGTGGAGGTTGTGTGTTCAAATAAAAATAAGGTATGCACTTTATTACCATGCAATGGTAACACATTAGGTTTTCTTATTACACTGTATTTAATGGAAAATAATGGCTGCATGGAAGGTATAAAAAAGACAATGGTGGGCAGTAGTGTAAAGTAAATTACATAAAAAAGCACTGGCATGGTCCTTTAAGAACTGATGCCAGGACAGTGTGGAGTTTATGGCTGACTTGATGCTTGTTTCACAGGAGTCCTGTTTGCTCGTCAGTCAGCCATAGCAGCAATGACAGGACACCATGGGAGACACAGTAACTGTCAGACTCAGGGAAAGAAGAGTCCCACACAGTTCCAGCCCTCCTGTTCCTCCTCATCCTCCTCCTCTTCCTCAGTCCACGGGCACAGAAACTCCTCCCCCTGAGTTTCACCCTCACTTCCTCTTTTCACCTCATCATAGAGGATCCATTCTCTTCTCAAAACCACAAAGCAGTTGACATCATCATCAGATAAACTGCAGTTGTTTTTGAAGGTGGTTTCTCTCTCCATCCACTTGATCAGATTCATTGTAGGTCAGCTAACAACAGATTGAGATGCAGCAAATTTGTATTTACAAACAGAAATCTTTACCAAAGAGATCTGCCCACCCCCTTATCCCTGCTCCTTCTGCTCTGAATTAGCAATGTGTTTCGAGGACATTTAATCTTTGTGTGTTACCATTGTTTTTCATGTCTTCAAAGGTGTCAGTTCAGTGTGGAACAGTTGAAAAGCATGGTTGTCCACCTTAAGGTGCAACCTGGATGAACCCAAATGAAGACTTCCTCCTGTGCATCAATCAAAAGATGAACAATTAACCTTAAGCAAGAAATTACAGTTGTTGATGATGTTTGAAGGATTTCTGACAGACCTCAGAAACTCACTGTTTACAGCAGATACCAAAGAAGAAAACAAATCTATGCTGATTTATCACATCCAGCATTTACACTGATCTTAAACGCCAATGATCAAACCTAAAGATTTTAGCAGGAATACAAACAGACAAAGCACATCTGATGGAAATCATCATGTATTGTATAGAAGCTGTCAGACTGCTGAGTCAGTATGGTCTCATCAGAGACTTGTGACAAGTGACAAGCAAAGGAGCCAAGCAAACAAGGTTAAAGTTAACACATAGCTCTATTCACTTCTAACAAACAGTGTGTCTCAGTCCCATATTGTATAGTAATACTGTATATATGTAAGTTATCAAGATCACATTAACCACACATCACTCCAACCCATTCAGCCCAGAGTCCCAGATCCTGGCCCAGGTGGGATTTTTTTATTGAACTTTAGTGGTCAAGTACCAAAAATGATAATGTATCAAATTACTCCAAAGTAGCTGTACAATTAATAACCTAAATGTTCTAAACTATAAATGAATGTTGATAGCACACAGTATACAAGAAATTGTGGAAATGCACATGTGCACAGTCAACTAAGCTGAGCTCAGAACGCCACTGGAAATTAGAGATCATAGTTATATTACTTACACTTCAGAGAACCATGTTTTTTTTTTGTGTGTTTTTTATTTATTTATTACATTATTCCAGACACGAACTGGCAGACACCAAGATTGCACCCATTCATTCATAAACTTTACATTCAGATTATGTCACACACAAATAAACAAACAAAAAAAAGGTTTTCCAGGCTCAGGTAAGAAAATACATGAAAATGTTTTATTTGTTTAAACAAATATTACATTTTTATATATATATAGTATACAGTATACAGATATTGGTGGTATAAGAGGAAGAATTTTGGGCTGCTGGAGACTTTTTTTAATGCAGTACTGATGTTGGCCACAGGGATATATTGGCAGCAAGGCTACTTGCATTTTGGGACATAAAAAAAAACATTCAAACAATTTTTTGACACAGTAAGGATTAGTTTATAATATGAATTTGGGACACAATTATTATCTCCTGCAACAAAATGATAATGCCTTTGGCCAGACCTTTCTCTAGATGTAGCGCAGCGCTAAAACACAGTGTGGAGAAGGGTCTGGCAATGCGAGATCACAAGAACACATTGTTTTCATCATAGAATAAATTATTATTATAAACAAGCTTGTTAGTCAAGTCCACAGAATATCTTTCTTGAAAAGAGAAAGATTGACAATCTTGTTCTCTCTGCCTTCTAGAGTGTACAAAGACAGTGACAGGTTCAACTGACGTAATGATAAGCATTGTTCCAGTCCAATGCTTTCCTCATTCATGATCGTAAATATTGCAATCAACATCATTGCTCCACTGGTTGCGGTCAGACATACTTACAAAAGTATGTCAGAGCTGCATCACATGCGATTGCATTGTTCTTTAAAGAAATTGACTAAAGCCAGGACCACTACCATGTAGAAACAGTGGCGTTAGTTAACATAATATAGCAAAAAGCTGATTTGATATTGGCTAACAAAGTCTGGGGAAAAAAATATTCAACAGAGTCCTCACATGGCATTGAATTGTTAGAGAAATGACTGTGAAAGGGAAGAATAGAGCACTTCAGCGTGTAGGCAGTAGGTGAACAAAAATACAGGAGATGACAGCAGGACATACAAAGACGTGAAGCCTATAGGAAATCACACTGTAGGTTTATATTGTGAATAGTGTTGTTTTTTTAATGCACTTGTGTGTAACATCAAAGAGGTTCTTTAATTTTTCTCTTTTTTTCCCTCTGCTTTCATGAAGATATTAACTATTTTCTTTATTGTTAGGGAAAATTGGAACCAATTGGAAGATTTATGGATTTTTATTAAGTCTGTTAAAGCATTTAATTGCAGATTTTATTTATTATGTTTTATATTCGATCCTGCAAACCATGCATTCAGCTCCACCATTTTATTTGCAAACCATTTATAAAAGTTTTCTTAAATGCAGATACCTCACCAGTCTACTTGTATATAGTCATAGTAAAGTATAAATACAAGATATACCTCATAAATTTCATTTATTTGTATTGTACAGCCACTTGAAAATCAATGTTTTACTTCAACAGATCACTGGATTTCTTTTCTTTTTTCATATTTTGTATGGTTATACCAAAGGGAATATTTTATTGATACACATCTACCTCATTTGTTATAGAATGTGCCAAAAAGCATGTCCACAATCTTAATTGCCAGTATATTAATGGCATTTCATATCCATGTATTTGTGTGAACACAAAATGCTTTTCAGTCAAAGAATAAACAATAGATTATGCTAGAGATTTGAAGTGCTTTTTATGTTTGGTGTTGTGCCGGCACAACAAAACAGCCTTATGTGAGACACAGTAGGGATGCTTATCAAAACAAATCCAATCTGCAAGAAAACATGAACATAAAGAGGAAGACAGCACTTTGTAACAACAGATGCCAATGACTTATTTTAAATTTGTCCTGTCAGCAATGTGGCCCACTCACTACATATGTTAATCACACTTTGAAAACCGCATTTAGCTGTGTGTTTAAAAAACAAACAAACAAACAATATAGGCGATTATATTGGATTTTTCTCAAACATAGATATCAGTATTAACCTAAAAAATTCCAGTATCGGGCAGACTATAGTCAAGAATGAACTTCCCTGCTCAACTCTTCCTGTTGAATCACCTCTGTTACCAATTTTGCAGTGCGCTTTTACCACGCCACTAAGCTCCAATCTGCCATTTTGGAAACGTAAATGAAAGCTAAAAAGCGCAAAAAAAAAATTAGCTACAACAGGTGTGTGCAGGCCACATGAAGGACGTTTTGTTTCAGGAAATAAGCCAGTCTTCAGTAAGTGAAGATGCACATAGAAACATGAGAACCCATTCCGAAAATTACTGGTATCCTGCAGGTATTTGTTTCCAGGAAAGAGAATAGATTTTGGGGAGAATTCCTGGAAAAAAAAAAAACAGGTTTGCAATTTCCAGTATTCAACTACTTGGTCTGTCAATCTGTGTGGTCAATATTTACACTACTTACAATATACACAACTACTGGCCAGAGTTCTATCAATCTCATTTTAACCAAAAACTCCTCCCAGGCTTTATTCTGGCAACACAATCTGGCCAAAATGTTCACTTCAACAGGCAGGTTAACATTATTTACTGAGCACAATCATGTTCCCCAGTGGATGAACATTTAGAGCTTCACTACTGATAAATCAATGTATAAGAACCGACTTGTTGTTGTTTTTTGGAGTTGTCGTCTTCTTCATCGTGCAGAAATTTTCATGCAGATTGTTCACAGTTCTCGATTTAAAATGCTATGACTTGTTCAGGTTCATGATGACAATGTAGTGCTCCAGGCTGATTACTGGTGATAAAGCTAATAATAGATTGTGTTACTACATGTATAGATGGTGATATTGAAATTGTATAAACACAACCACAAAACTAGACAGAGCTCTCTAATCTGGAAAATCTGGAGCGTTGTTTCAGACACGGTGTTGTTCATATTGTCCTGAACTCGTATCTCCACAGACCTTAATAGAGTTGCGAAGTGGGAGAAGTAATGTTGGGGATCCAGGGTTCTGGAAAAGTCCAGTTTATTTTCACTTTGTTAGCCAAGTGTCAGTTGGAACTCTTTAACTCTCCTGGTTGAGTAAACAAACAAAAAAATCTATTGTGTTTGTGCAAATATCATTTTTCTGATGAGAAGTCTAAGGACATTATACTCTTTTTATTGTACATAAAAAAGAGATGTCAACTACTCAACTCCCAAGGTCCTTTTCGGTAAGAAACATCCAATGATAGTGCATGTTAGCTACACATGCAATAAATCTAAGACTCAAATTTATACTTTTAAGTAACCTTTCATAAGTTAATTTGGAAATTATCAACAGCTTCGATCATTTGTCAATTGCCTAAAACCATGTAATTGTTTCACTTGGACCCAAAACACCTCATGGCCATGCAGCTAATATGTATTTCTCAGACAATCAATTTTTTCCTAACTCTGACCTTTATCAAGTAGTATATAGTAGTCTATTTTAACCATGACCATAATTGTTCCATAAAATGTAGACTTTTTGTAATCTCGTTTATTAGGGGAAATATTTATATGGGTAATTTGGCAGACAATGACAAAGTAGTTTAGTTGGAAAAAGACCTTGTGGAATTTGTACCTCTGACTGGCTTCTTCCAGGGTACCAAACGTCAACAAAGAAAGTTGATTTAATTGAAACTGATGCCCATTACATAAACCTGACCAATCATTCAGTTGTCCAGGACTCAATGTTTCTCAACACAGAAACACAGATTATTAAAACCAAATAGAGCATATAAACACTTCTAGAACTAGCTCCCTCTCCCACTTCACAACTTTATAGTATACTCTCATAAGAAATGTCACATGGCTGATTCTGTCTTGAGTCCAGTCACCAAGTTACAATTTTTGATCATGAACTGTATTCAAGAATA